ATGGTCATGCAGTAGTACTTGGTCAGTAGACCTGTGGTTCAAGGAGATGATTACCAACCACTGGACCAGGGGTTAGATCCCTGCCCCACCTACCGAGGTTTGGGCACCAGGTACTATCACCAGCCCTCACACGATAGGTGTTGTTCATTACCTACTCCAAGAATGTGTACAAGGTAGCTGCGTAAGTTACATACAATACCTGGTCCTATTTTGATGATTGAACGAACGTGCTCTTTGCAAATCATGAAACTCTTAGACTTGCCCTGTTTCACGTCGTAAATGCAGGCTCCTAAAAAGTTATAAACTAGAGTATCATATAACTTGGATGCTTCATACGTTTTTATCTCGCTTATGCGCGTGAATAAGATCTTTTACGATTCTGGCTTTCCATACACAAGCTGATTAGTCCCACAGTCTGCGTTTCCAACCTCCAATCTGTAGCACACGATAACTAGTCCTCGCTGTGATTACAATACTACTAAATAAATGTATAACATACTTATATACACGCAAATTAATGACCACCAGCATTCAACAAGAATGAATCAATTTGTATAGCACCGAGTGAACATAATTACCCACACTTATGTTTCATTGAGAGGCAGTAATTTTGGAACTGTTAACCGTACATGAGTAAGTAAGGAGTCACCAAGATGTCTATGAATTGGTTTATATGGTAATACTATAAAATAAAACCCTGGTAATGAAATAATCTGACTTAATACATTTATCCAACTCTCATATATCCTTTTCGTGGGGTAGCTTATAACAAGTGAAATAGTCATCCTATGTTACTTGGCTTTCAACTACTTCATAGTTGATATCATACGACTCATATGTACCTCTTGCCTTCAATGTATATTTTTAGTTTTCTAATCTGTTATAAAGTCAACACAAAAACAAATATTTTGCTACTCGTGATAAATTTTGGGTTTGCAACTATGATGAAGTAATGAAATAAACTTTAGTCATTTATGATATTTAATCCGTTGTTACTCAAATAATTCATTAGTTGTACAATTAACAAAACAATTAATTTGTACATGAAATTTTTTCTAGTGATTGCTACGTATTTAGCTCATCTAGTTTTATTGCCCTTCTAAGTGAAGACACTTACAAAGGACAAGGTCTTCTAAACGTGTTGAGTAAAAATCTGAGTATGTTTGACATGCGTTTTGTACTTGTGAAATGTAAGATAAAGTTTCAGAACAGGTCCGTAACTACACCCAGTTTAATGATAAGGAGGTGAGGTAGTGCAACATGTTGACCACTTAACTTACTTGAGTTGCATGGGCCGAACGCGATGGTTGGACGAAGTCCTAGCTCAGATAAAGAAGACCCGTTTGACATTTGCCGACTCACGCCATATCCGGCGCCGACTGGCGAGATACCTATCTATCTATTAAAGGACGAGTAAACTGCGCTGGAGTCCTTTCTGTCCTGTTGTATGACTGTGAGACTTGGCCGTTAAAAGTAGAAGACAAGAAGTTGTTACTGGGTTTTCAACACAGATGTCTTCACAGCATAGCTCGAATTTGGTGGAATCATCATGTGAGCAATGCTGAGGTAAAGTGAACAGTACTAGATAAGGTAGTCAAGCCAATCAATGAGGTTGTGAACCTCACTGGTGGTTTGGACATGTACTGCGCATGCCAAGCCACTCTCTAACTCAATGTGTCATCCAAGGGGAAGTTGGATTAGGTTAGAAGAGGGTTCAGGGTGGTTAGACAAAAACCTGGCATCAGTCAATGAAGTCTCTTACTGTTGATCTGGGTCGTGGGAGGATATGTAGACAGGGTGGTGGAGTTTTCGAGATGAAAAGAGTCAGCGTATGAGGACTATTGGTGACATGGGTGAAAATCGGTCATAATGGCGCAAATGTATTCACTTCTTGACATCTAAAGGTTGAATAATGAGTACCGACTGTAATCTTTAGATTGTTTACTTTCTCGAATAACTTTGTTTACTTCGATATCACTCCTTTTCTATCCACTTGTTCTTTGTTTACTACTCTGGTGTGGCAACTTGAGCCAATGCAGCTGTGAAAGGTTACACGTTGGTTTTCCACTCAGTGATCTAGTTTTTAGTCTAGCGTTTCCAATTACTGCATTATATATGCCTACTGAATAATCATTTAATTATGTCCTTGTTGACTTTATAGATTCCCTTGTTGGTTAGTTGAGCTAACACTATAAATATCAAGCACGTACTTCTTGCAACTGACTAACATGATCTCATCTTATTTGACTTTGTAGTCATCTATTCCTTTAATTTTAGTTTTTGATACTATACAAGCTCTTATGGTGATAACCTTTGTTCACACTATGTGATCATCTGTCCCACTAATAAGATTTCCCAGAAAATTATACAGATCTTTCAGTGAAAAAGGCTTTTTTGACCTCATGATAATTGGTGTTAGGTTGTGATATTGAGTGCTTGAGAGAATTCACATCCATTAGTTCTCCCCTTTCAGATTATGGTCTGACTTTAAAGACCACCGCAACAACTGTAATAACTAATCAAGTTTCGTTATTTCTAGTGAAAAAGTGGTTTTTCCGTAGAATAATAACGAACTACATGAACCAATAACATACATTACATCAAATGAAGAGCTCTGAAATCTTAGAAAAGCAGTTCATCAGAAAGGCTTCCTCTGTCCACAGTTCATTAAAAACAGAGCAACATCAAATTATCAAAAGTGAGTTTTTGTTCATGAATACTAAATTCAATAAATAAAACCCCGGGATTGGCTACAAACCTATTGGCTAAAGTAATCCGAAGAATCTTCTTTGCTGCTAAACTGTGGAGTATCTTCTCCAGCTAAGAACTGACACAAGAAGACATAAAGTATAAGCCCTGGCTTGGGATCTATCACTTTACTCGCTCGAGACCGGAAAACGTTTCTCCCGGCACTGGCGTGCTTGGTTTCTCGGAGAATCTAGGTCAAGCAACAGCTCTATTCTTATCTACCTGGTCTACTATTGGAATGCTGCCTCGTCAAAGTCTTCTCTCGAAATAATTTAATTGAGTCTGAACGACTGGAAAGAGATGCGGACTGGTCAATTATTTTCAGCAGAGATGTTGATCACTCAACAAATCATCAGGTATGAGCACAAAAACGGGTACATCTAACCACCTACTATTACGTCATTACAATTTCTCTTCGACTTTTTCGTTGCATCAATATTCAGCTTGCAGCTACTTTACAATGTACTTTCTTAGATCTATAAAGTAGTGATTTTAATTTCCCATTAAAAGTTCATACTATCATTCTTAAGGGTCTTTTCCATGATTAATAGCGTGCTAGAATACTCACTTATTGAGACTGCTTGCTCGTTGAGAATTTGATAGACAGATAAAAAATAGTGAATAATCCATACACGTTGTTTCTGAAAGAATGATGACCTTCAATCTACACTAAAATTTGTGAGTTTGAAATTTAGTGTAAAAAAGTCTCACGATCATATAGAAATTGGTAACATTCATTATCGATACCTTATCACAATTAGACTCTAAAATACTTTTCTGATCAGCTCTGAATTTATTGGCTGCAACACTGACTACTAGATAAATAATGTTACGATCTACGAAAAATAATCGATAAGACTTGCTTCCTTGGTCTTTTTGCAAAATGCTGTGGTATTTAATGCGCATTACGAAGAAAACCTTTTTTTAATATGATGATTTGGCATAAGACCATACTCACTGGAAAATTATTTTATTTATTTATCTTCCTTCAGAGTTGTCTGCGCAGTTACCAAAGGCGAATACACGAATACACCAAAACGTGAATGCATCCAATATTCCAGACTCGCATGAAAAAAACGAACTGAGAATATCATTACTGATACTTGACAGAGCAAAAGCAAGTGAATAGAATAGATGTGACGGTAATCAGAATGTCACCTCTTTCACGATTTGCTGGAAATTGTGCTGCATGTGTAATAATGATGTCACACATACTTTAACGATGGGATCATTCCTCGGGACCACAAACAAACTAATAATATCTAACATAAGTCTCAAACCTAAGCTACTACTCTATTGCATAGCGATTTAGGTGGACCGACAGAAGTGCTTAACTTATCGTGACTTGTTTTGCACAACTCAGTCGATCTTAAACCTCAATATTTTAAGTTCACTAGGTCGGATTTTTTGAAAGATTGTTGGATACAGCTCTATAGATCAACGAGACTGGTGACAAAAAAAATCCACGAACTTGCTGCAATCAACTTTTGGGTTTCATCTCAAAATCATTTACCATAGTTATTTGACAGTTTCTTATTCCTATACCGATTACCAAAGCGTATTTCACTTATCATCTTAAATATTCCCCGTCACATGAATTTTACTGCACTTTAATAGCGTGTTCTTAAGAATGACGTCAATGTCATGTCGTGACTAAATTTAGAATAGTCCATTTATTTAATCAAGAAAAGGGTGAAAACTATCCTTTGAGTGCTTAAACCTTCCGGTTTAGCTTTAAAAATATCCGATTTGATCGGATGAGTGCATTTGACTCAGTGACCATGAGATTCACGAAACGACATGTCGTCTGACATTAGTGCAGTTAGAAATACATTCTAGAAATCACTGCTAACCAAACATAGAACAAGATTTTTGAAAACCAGTTACAGATTATAGAATGACAGCTATTGAAACTTTACACTGCAGTAGAATAAGATTTCCACTGCCGAAATTAAAGCACAACATTTGATAAAAACATTCAGGCCTAGATTCATGAATTTGAATTGTACAAACATACACAAACTAAACAGGATGTACTAAAAGTTAAACGGGCTTCACAATGAAAACAGAAAACTTGAAAATACAAAAAAATCAAATCGTTAAGTATACATGTATTACAGTTCAGAGAATAAACAGAAATGTAAACATTAACTGTGCACAACTAGTATGCAAGTAAGGTGTTTTCGTGGAACCATATTTTCTCTCAGATGCAAAACAAGGTATTAAACTGAAAGAAGAAAATCAATTTGCTTTTACAAATCATCTCTTGATTCTTTACCGGTAACAAAATGCACCTCCCACTGATCGTTTACTAGAAGATCAGGTTTACGAACAACAACAATTTGTGGTGTATACCTAGAACCACCACCAGAAAGACTGAACGATGGAGTAACTGTAAACTCTAAATTTCTACGTGGCTCATGTCCGTCAATGACAGTAACTCTTTCCAATGAGCTATTTAGTCCAACAATAACAAAACGTTCAATTTTCGGGATCGGAATTTCGTTTCTAGGCGGTGAGATAGAACGTTCGCCTGGCAGTGGTAAACGTGATAAACGTAATCGTCCACCGTGCATATTCCCACCTGTTGGATCAACAATTCGCTGGTATATAATTTTGAAAAATTGTGCGTCTGACTTCGAAGTTGAGTGGAAATCATCAAAATATATATAGCCGACAGCATTAGGCTCTTGAGGATCCAAACAAACCACAAACGTGTAAGGATCATCTCGCATAAGCCAAGATGAACGACGTATACGCTCTTTACGCGGTATAATCCAACCACCTCGATAGAAAGCAGGTATAGACGATATTGTAACTGGATACTGTGTCAACTGTCCACCTGCAAATATCTGGAATCGAAAAAAATAGATCACAGTGTATCGACAACATAGCTTATGCTAAAAACTATCTTGAAAGTCCAACTAACAAAAAATAAATCCAGTCAAGTAGACTGAAATATGCTTAAACTACATAAAGTTAAGTAATTATTTCATAAGATTTCAAAACAGTTAGCAACTGTTTTGTTATCTTATTTCTCAGAAAGCCGTACTCATACAGAAAAATGCCTACAAGATTGACCAAGAAAAAAAAAATTAATTAAGACAATCTAGGTTCTGAAGACTATTTGTGTTGTGATGCCTAGTTTTGTATAAAACATTGTTATTGATCTGAACATTTTAACGCGTCATTCCCACACCATTTTACGGTATAACTAGTAGCCTACTTCCTGTCCCCACTGTAATGTAAATCGCTAATTGGTTAATCTTTACTCTTGCTATGCAAACGCCTCAAATTGAGGACAAGGTCATTTTTCATGTGTATACTTATTCACGTGTTTTAGATTGGTCATTATATTCTCGGAGTAATACACTCTCCCATCTGCTGGCTTCGGTCTTCTCTCGGGGTTGTAGTCAGTGTCTCTTGCGTACTAAGTTAGCTGTCAGCGAAGCGTGTGTATTATATTCGTTCGGAATATATATAACCACTGGCGTACGAAACCATAACAATTTTTCCCACAGAAAGTTTCTGATTGAAGTAAAATTAGTGGCATAATTAAACATTTCGGTAATACGCAGTATCAAGGCTTAAGTGGCCAATAAAAATTTCAATTTGTGGATCCCACCATTAAACTGTAAGAAAAGTCATTGTTTGCATGAAACAGTTACTTTATATACCAGGATAAATGAACACGAAGAACTGTATGAAACTAGTGCCTTCGATGCATATTTCGTAATAACCAATCATGTTCAATCCCGACCATGTATTTATGGTGAACTAGGGTGAAAAATGGATATCACCTTACAAAAATAATCTACCTACTACTAAGTGACGAGAACGCTTTTTAACCACTTAAGTATTTTGTAATTCGAGAGGTTTATTCAAAACAGATAAGCAAGGTTAAACTAACAAAAAGAATATCTGAATAGAGACAGTGTGCATAGCATAGACTTGCATCTCAGTTTAATAGCCACTTGCGAATTTGTGCACTATGCTATGAGCCAAATCTACTATGCACTAGCTGGTGTTACCAGTTAACTTTCCAAACTTAAGTGAACGAAATAAAGTTGAGACCTGCAACCCAATCACTGAAGATCGACTGCGTAAGTCAGTGAGTCATAGATTCAGAACTAAATCGGGAAAAATAAAGCATTAATTCTGTAAACTTCTGACCAACAATCTAGGAGGAAAAACATTATCGTTGCTTTGTATATTCGATTGCTTGAAACACAAACTCAGTGGGATACAGGTACCAAGAAATTAACCCCACAAGCTAAAAATTATGTAACACCATGAGAACATGATAGAGAAGACAGAGTTGTTCCAATAGAAGCTTTTATAACACAACTAGCCTTTAACTCATAGTATTACATTCCTGCTTTCAGCAAGTATTAAATTTAACAAGAGTTTAAGATATGAATGCCGCTAGGATAGTATGTGTAAAGCGACTCCAAGTCAATGAAGATAGTATTTCAAGAGGATCATATCAAAAGCCGACCGTGAGACATTTCTTTCAAGTTAACCTTTCATCCCTGGCTTCATGCTAATACGAGTTTCTCTCAGCAATACAACTAGAAATAATCATCTTGTGTTAATAATTTAGACAATAAGAAATTATAATCTCTACGTTATTAAGAGGATGGTGATAATCACGAGAAAACGGAATAAATATACAGTGAATTGTGATGGGTTAAGGTTGTCAGTTGATTGTAATCCTGCATAATAATGATGATGAACACAATAACTTCATCAAATAATCTATTTTTAATACTATTTACGTAAGAATAATAGCACACGAAATGAAAAAAGCATGAGAGTTACACGAACTGGTAACCAACATATCTGTGTAGTCGTTAGTGTCCAGCACTGATCGAAATCTGTCTACCAAGTTTTGTAACGTTATTCACTAGTGATCAATTCGTGTACATAATCCAGACCAACGGTGGATCAGTTGTGGCCGCAATAGCTTAGTAGTAGTTTCTAACTTCATCAGAGTGATGCCAGTTCGGACCACTAAGGGAACACCAGTTTCCTCGTGGTTACAGAAACTCCTTGCTGATGAGCGCGAACAGACAAGAAACTGAAGTCCACGGCTTTCTGTTGATTGACTCCTACCATCTAACACCTGAGTTATCTTAGTACAGTTTATGAATGTAAAATCAGGTTACGCGAATGGTTCGGTTCATGGAAGTAAATTTCAGACGAGTACAGACGCACACAGAAGGAGCGAATGAATGCAAATTGTTTTTATTCCAAGAAACTCAATAATAATTAACTGAAGAACAACTTTTTAAGGTACTTACTTTTCAAGTCTTGTCAGTGTCTAAAATCAGCTTCAAACCCTAACATAATACAGAAATAAGATGACGCTTAAACGTCGATTTAGCGAGATATTAGGTACGTTTGTCCAATCTTTCCAAATGATAAGTAACTTTTAACAAGACGAAATCTTTATCAGATCTAAGTTACGTAAGAGACTACTATTTAGTTTCGTAATTCTTGAAAACAAAAATTAACAAAGAGGCATATTTTTTTCAACGAGCTATAAGAAAACACAAGTTGTGCTTAAAGCAACCTAAATAATACACAAAAATTCACTTACCTCGAATGATGGATTATGATACCATATCCCCTTAGGAAAATATACCTGAACATAACTAGCACTTTGTTGAATGACGGGATGTACAAGTAAGGCTTCTCCAACCATATATTGTTCATCCAAGTCAAATGTGTTGATATCTTTTGGAAAATGATACCACATTGGGGCCATAACTGGTTGACCATCTGCCTCTGAACGAGCGAATGTAGTATACCAGTATGGAAGTAGGTTGTAGCGTGCTTGTATAGCCTTTCTGTAAAATAAAATCAGTGTGCAATTGATTTACTATTCAATTTGGAAACCAGACTTTAATATTAAGCTACATAATTGAACAATTCAAAAAATTAAATACACCTGATTCTAGTGAGAACAAGTCAGAAGCGAGGAAATTATTTCTGATTCAGCAAATAATACTGTTTTAGTGTGTGATATCTGGAATGGAATTGTATTGTGCAGCAGTGCTTGGAGAATTTTTCAAGTTAGTATTCATCATAGACTGATATCAGTTGGAGGGACACTAGTAACCTATGTTATCATTGAGCCACTGGGTCGGAGTCCAATGGTCTATATTCTCAACTTCTGCCAGTTCACAACATAGTGCGACCACCACCCAATGTCATCGTTTAGTATTTGTCCTTACGGTCATTAGGTTTACCGCACCGGTCACGACTTCTCATTAGAACTTCACGAATCACCTCTGGAAGCTAATCACCAATGAGCACTAGCCTGGGAAATTATCTACAATAAAGCGATTATTACTATTATTAAGTTGTACTCTATTCGTTAAAACATAGCATACATTTGCTAAACCTCGCCTGGTTAACTAGTTCACTAGTTACTAGCCGGTCCTAAGCCCCATAAAGAGGGAAGGTTGGGCATAGGGCAAGCAACCCTACTCCGTAAAACAAATCCAACCGACAAAGAAACTTCAAAGCATAAGCAAAATATAAAAAATAAAAACAAAATTATTCCTCCCTGGAGTCGGAGAGGCGAAATGACGCCAGTTGGTGAAAGCCTTTGGAAAGCCAATTGGCCGATGTGTCTTCTCTTGATGAAAGCGAAAGTAAACGTGGGGACATGGAATGTCCACACTATGTTTGAACCCAGCAAGACTGCCTAGACTGCAAAAGAGATGAGAAGGCATAGCATACAAGTGCCAGGAATCTGCTAAGCATGTGGAATGGAAGTGGACTCTCCAAACTGTCAACTTCAGAGTCACTAATCTACTTCGGTCACCCAGACGACAACCACGAGCACACGGAGGGAGTGGCTATCATGATGTCTCCAAGAGCACTGAAGGCTCTCATACAGTGGGGACCAATCTCCTCAAGGATCAGAACAGCAAGGTTCAACTCAAAAGGAAGGAAGGTCACAATCATACAATGTTACGCACCTACAAATAATGCAGATCAAGAGAAGGAGGAATTCTACAAGCAACTGCAATCAACATTGGACAAGACCTCAGTTGGCGAAATCAAAATTCTAATGGGCGACATGAATGCCAAACTGGGAGCAGACAACTCAGGAAGAGAACTAACCATGAGTCGAGAAGCGCTCGGTGAAATGAACGAGAATGGCGAATCGTTTGCAGAAGAGAAGCAGCCTACTTGATACAAGGTCAAGAAGGGGAGCAGATGCAGGCTCAGACTACTATCTAGTGCAAGGAACCTTCTAAATCAAATTGAAAGCCTTCAAGGAAGTTGGTGATAGACCACAGTTCAACACCTGGAAACTGAAGGACGAAACTACAAAAAAGCCTTCACGTCAGCCATCAAGACAAAATGGCGCGTTACGAGAGTTATTTCCAACAAACTACAGGCATTCATCAACAACTGCCTACGCTCGTTACTGAAGATCAGATGGCCAGAAAGAATAAGCGACAAGGAACTCTGGCTGGCAACGAACCAACCAAGAGCCCATCGCCCAACAAATATACAGAAGAAAGTGGAGATGGATTGGGCATACACTGAGATGGCCGGTTGGAGACAACACGCGACAGGCCCTCGAGCGGAGCCCGCATGGGAAACGAGTTGGGCGTCTGAGCGAGGGTGACATGGAGATCGTGCGAGGAAGGATTGAGAGCTTCTGGGCTGTCGTGGAGCCAGATTCAAAAGTTTGCAGAAAACAGAGTGCACTGGAGACGTGCTACTGAAGCCCTATGTTCCACTAGGAACCCAAGAGACAAATAATAATAATAATAATAATAATAATAATAATAATAATAATAATAATAATAACAATAATAATAATAATAATAATAATATGTCAAAAATTTATTTATAGTCTTCACTTGAGCGTTTTCTTTAAAATTTCCAATCTAATAACATATGGTATTTATAGTAGAAGTATAAAGAACAAGTTGAAGTTATTTTACACCAATTTGATGTAGTCTAGACTATTTTGATATGCTTTTATTTAAACTCTTATCGTTTTGTGCCGCTTTCATCTCTATGGGTCACATAAACCGAGTATTCACAGAAATAACTTCCAGTGTTAGGTACCAAAGCTCATTTGGTTTCATTCTGCGGATAACTCGTATTTAGTTGGTGCGGTCTCCGTTATTCGCATATTTTCCGCATCAAAACAGTTAGCTCTGGATTCCATATTAAATTTGTTCGACGTAGGATTATTTAATGAATGACTAATTCGGTATATATATATATATATATATATATATATATATATATATATATATATATATATATATATATATATATATATATATATATATATATATATATATATATCATATATATCATACAATTCCCCACATTTAAAAGGTATAAACATATGTACCAGGAAATACATATGTATCTATTGCATACTACTGTACTATACACTTACGGTAAATGATATTTGGCTAATTAAAATCAAATCAAATCCTGAGGAATGCACAAAAACAACAATCCAGTGTCTATAGTGAAAATGTATAGAAAACCGAAGCAGATACGATCGAATGAAGACAAGTAGGGGAAGATAATCAAGTTACTTGGCCAAATGCACCGTAACATGAACCGAAATGGCTGGGAAGATATGTGGATTTTCAAACATTCTTTAAGCACAGAGGGATCAGGGGATAGATATCAAGCAAGCCTTTACAATTCTTTGTCGAAAGCGTCAAAAATCCACGCTCGGACTTCTTGAAGTTCTACTTATACATGAATACAGATCTCTACCTTTTTGGTGCAAAAAATTATCATATATGAACAATTTTCATCTTGTATAACAAACCTCCAGATTATAAATAAACTCTACATTAGTATTAGTGTTTTCAATGTAAAAACAAAACAACTTGCTGATGGGGCTGAAAGAAACTGATGTTTGTTGGAATTCAGCAAGCTTATCACTTTTACCAAGTTTCTTCATGTTAATACAAATAGGTGCAAATATGTCTGCATGGCAACAGCTGTGGGGTTAGTAAACTCCCATCTTTTCCTGAGCAGTCAAATAACAATGTTGTATAGATGTTGCAATATTAACATAGAGGGAATACACTTACCGTATAGGATCGATATAATCCGAAGGTACCAACCAAGGTTCACGACGTTTGGTATCTATGTGGGCATGTGCCCGGAAGAATGGTTGATAAGCAGCCGCTTGATACCACCTTGTCAATAATTCGGGATCCGGATTGCCAAAAAAACCTCCAACGTCAGCTCCGCTTAGTGTCAAACCTGTGATCGACATACTGAGGAGCATAGGGACTGAAATCTAACAATAGGAAACAAATCACGATTCTGAAGCGTATAGAATAATTAGGTAGAAATAATAAATACACTATAGTTGCATAAATGAGTAGCAACAACACTAGATAAACATGTATCAGACAATTTTGTCAGAAAAAGACACGCTCGTAAAAATTTCAAAATAGTGTATGAAATAATGACTTACAAAAGATAAGCCATCAGTTTTGGCTAGAACACTAGAACCTACCGATCGAAAGAATGGTTACACACAGTCGTGGGTAAACTGGTCAGTTCAAAATCGTTTGGGAACAGGCTATTGCTACGAGCACTAAAGCTACAAACAAAACTTAAACCCAGCAAAATTATCCAGTCAAACATTGTTTTATACTCTTATACATATAGATAGAGAATTACCTTTAGATGTCCCCAATCGGCCGTATTATCTCCAGTCCAAACAGCTGCCGTCCGATGAGATCCAACAAAAAATGCCCGAGAGAGTACAAAAGGACGTTCCATACCGTTCGACCTTAATACCAGTCCATCCCATGTTGCTCTATGAACATACAAACCATACAAGTTGTGTATGTCACGATGTTCCCAATTGTTTGCATGCTTAGCATCCTTTAAGTAAAAAAGAACAATGCTATATGAGCGGGAAGAAACAGAGGGATTATATTGCTATACACTCGGATGCCAACGCTGAAGTAGATGGTGCGATCACCTAGTTGAAAATAGGATGTGCTTTGTGACTAAGAGATTTATAACATCACAGATGTCTGGATCAAAAATGAATAGGTTGGGTGCACTGAAAATCAGCTTTCATGCGAAGATAGCCAGTGAAACCTAGGAACGGATACAAAAGATATAACTAAGTTTCACAACAATAAGCTACCTGCAGTGCTCGAGATACATCCAAACACACCAACAAGGGGGCAACATATTAAACAGACTACAGGTTTACAATTAACATCATCTTCGCAGCACTGCTTGCGGCCACTGTAATCACTATGCCTAACTGAAATATACGTCAACGCGTGGTGTTAACTCGAGTAAAAAAAATCACATCAGTCTCAGGATTGTTAGGGTTAAACAAAGCATAAAATTGAAAGGTCTCTGATATGTTTTGGACCATTTTAAAAGCTGCAAGCTTATCAGTCGAGGTTTGACAGATAACTTAAATGAATGGTTACGGGTTTTAGGTTTATATCACTTAGAATCGATTGTAGTGGCATACATGCGCCCAAGTCTAATCTTTTTCTATCATATATTTTTATTCACTTCTTCACTTTTTGACTATCCTTGACCTCAGCATACAATACTTTGCACCCCGCCGTTCATTTCCCCTTACTGAGATGATGTAGTTTGAAGAATCCGATTGATGAGCAACAATAAGAGGCTTTGTATTGTTGTATATGTGGGAGAAACACATTTTTGTCATCCAACATACGAACAGTAACTTTCGGTATTCATCAATTAAACGACTTAGATAACTACGTAATCCAACATATGTATTTAAACCCCTAGTAAGTACACAAATATCTGTCTAGTGCACTTGGATGAGGACATTTTGTTGATCATAAAGTTTATCTTTAGTTGCTATCAGACTACAACTTGAGGCATATTAAGATATTTGAACAAAAGGTACTTCTTCATTAACTACACATGACTTAAACGGAACTACCTAACTTAGAACGATAAAAATGAATTGCCTTTAGGATTCAGTTGAGTAGTTACGTATCGGCTTTAGCAGTGGGTACAAAAACACATGATGCGCCGGACACCGACATTAAAGTCAACAAATAAGTGAAGCTGCACATAATATACTACTGGCTGACGTGAATAATTCTAGGTTGTCAACAAAGTAATATATTAAGTGAAGCGTTCCGCTTGCATCCTCGACACCGATTGTGGCATCAGTCAAGCAGATCACATTATGTGATTTGAATATTTTGCTCTATATATGAAACCATGGTGAGATTTCTGACCATGGTTTTTGAAAATATCCCATTTGATTTAAACACATAAGTGCATGAAACATACTTTCTGGGTGGTAAGTTGAAGACTTATACATCAGAAGTTTGAGTGAGTTTTTGACGTATAGGGTAAGTTGATAGTAAAACCCTAATGGTTTAGTCAAACGTGCCTATGGATCGTTACGCAGACAGACAGACAAGATCAGAAAAGAACCAGGCATTACTACGTTACGATCAAGAAGCTATACCTCACAATAAGCACATCAAGCAATAAGATGAAAGATGAACAAACAGCAGAGAAATGGTCAAAAGCAGTAGACAGCAGTAAATAAGGAGGAATGAGAAAAAAGAATACTGAACTCAGTATCACGACTAAGAGGAGGATAAAGTAACGTGTGTTAATAGTAGTAACAATGTTATAATAGTAGCAATATTGTAAGGAGAGAATTCAAAGCGTCTACAGTATTACCATACAATGGACCTCCGAGACGTTACGAAAGATTCTCAATAAGGCTGGAATTAGAGTGGCATTCGAACCTACAAACTCAGAAATAAGCTTTGTAAGTTAAAAGATCCCATTGATCCAATTAAGCAGAATAATTTCATTCCAAGCCATATCACCTACAGTTTTTAACTACTGGTTTCTGATATCGCGCGAACTCCGAAAGGAGAGTTTACATGCCTCACGCCAATAGTCAGACTTCATGCACCGATGCTATGTTTTAATCTGCTTGCCTCTGACCCTTTTCCAACCTAAAACTACTTCATCTAACATTGTGTGATGCGGCAGGTGGTGACTAGGTATGTCTTAGACACGTCGGTCGACAAAAGTCAATAACCTCATCAATTGACTTTCCGCTCCTTCCTAAAACTCTACACTGGAGAACTACATTACTAATACGGGGACGCCACGACACACAGGCTATACTACGAAAGGACTGGTAGTCAAACATCCGAACCGTTCTCATATAATTTCACTATGTTTCCAATCCATATAACAGAACAGAGCTAAGTGCAGCCCAGTACACGTGTTGACAGAGTTGTGTGTGTGGTTGACACTTCCCGCCTGCCTACACCGTGGAACGCTCTTTCTTCCTGAGGTAATTGAAAAAGAAGTTAATGCGCAACCACAGAGCCCAAATGACATCTGCTTGAGGTTGGTCACACGGACTTCTCAGAAGTTTCGTACGTTAGTTTGTTTTTTTCAAACGAGACTATGAATCCATACTACCGGCCTCAGAAGATCACAGGGTATGAGGAGTATGTATTTTCGAAACTTAGTGTTTCTAAACCCTCCTCTTCCGTGGGGAGGAGGTCGTCCAAAGAAAACACCTTACTGCAGTCTTCCCCCGTCTAACAATCACTATGACCTTGTTATAGGACCCCCAACATAGTGTAAAAAATCTATACAGTAACGGTAACTACTTTTCTTCTTATCACTAGCCAACAGACCTTTATGGTATGGCAGGACCTCGAGGGGAACAAGTATTCCAACAGTACGGCCCATAGGGTTATTGTGATATACAAGCATGACCACCACATTGAGGTAGCAGCTGTCGGTCGGTCCAATATGCATTAAGGCGCGGACATTGAAAGTCGCAATCTCAAATAGTACATTTGATTTCGAAGCAGATGAGTCAAGCATCATGCCAAAGAACAGTTTTGAGGAAGCAAATACTTAGTAAATTAATACGACGTAGTGTAAGTACATACTTTCTTTTTTCATACATAAGTAACTGCGATGGATGAGATAATATCTAGGTAGACGGACAGAAGCGGGTGGATATCGTACAGGACCAACCTCATCCCCTTTGTATTAAACTTTTCATCTACAGAAGGAAGGAACTATGCTAAGAGTTGCTTTTCTTTCGTAGCCTATGACCAAAAACGTTTTACGAACCATTTATTCCTTTGAGAGCATAGAGTTCATAAACAACAGTAGCCTAGAACTAGGACTTTTTACATCCATTACACAGAACCTTTACGTTTACCATTTGAAAGTTAGTGCTGACACTCACTAACTAATTATTACGGAATTTCAAGTGACAACGATTAACTAATAACTTATGAGGTGATGAAAAGAATATCAGAGTAGTCGCAAAACAGCACTAAATTATTGATAGCATGCTTACGAACATAGCTTAATGCCATCAGACTATCTAGTTACTAACAAAATACTACGGTATCGAATGTTTTTCAATAGCAGATTTTAAAAAAGCTTACTTTATGCATGGTGACTTCTGGACCATTAAAAACTGACGGTTCACCCATATCATTCCACGTGAACATTGAGTCTTTGCGAATAGGATCGTAAGTTAAGAACAGGTTTGACCACCACTGTTGTACTGCTTTGTCAGTAAAATCAGGCCATGAACTGGAACCAGGCCAACACCAGCCATCGAACTCAATACCGTCTCTAGTTTTCACAAAAATCCCATTATTCTGAGCATTACTAGATAAAAAATAAATTCAGTATAAGGAATTTTAGTTGATATAAGCCTTAATCATGGCACTTGTGAAAGTTCATTTTGTTAGTTTTACCAACAACTTCCACTTAACTATAAGTCAGGCGGTCACTTAAACTACATAAAAATGATCTTAAAACCTAAGTGCATACAACCGGTTTAATATAGAACAGTATTATTTATTAAATTATGTTTCGGACACGATTTCATTGTTCATAGTCACATCAAGATAACTCCAGAACTTTGAGACATGGTGCATATAGTTCGAACTCTCTCTCCTTCGTGATGTCTTCTGGTACATTAGTTAGTAGTAAAACTATGCCTGACTTGTCTTTAGTTTTCAGAAAATATACAAATAAACACAAGGGACTGCCGTGAGATTATCAATGTCCTTCATCATGGTAGACATATTCATGGATATTTGGGGATGGATGGTCTTGGAAACACTTAGTCCTGCTCCGAAAGTATAGTTTCGATAGGTATATGACACGCTGAAACAGGAGCACATGCATAGTTTCTTTATACATAAATTCAACAGTCATGACAATCCAAATTACCTATGAGTTAGATGGTGAAGGAGAATTATCGGTGTTGGATTGGAAAATAAAAGCAAGATGGGAGTTTAGACACTAGTATCTATAGAAAACCTTCACACTCAAATAGTTATTTAGACTTCAAATAATTTCACTCTATGTCAGTTAAGGTTGGCTTGGTAAAATGTCTCAGTAACAGTGCCAAGAAAGTTATTAATAAGCGGAAAGTTTGAGACGCAATCAAATACAATTAGGATAGATTGCTCATCAACAATTACTCTCCAAGATTACTCAATAAGTTCCTTAGCAATCGTAAGCAAAATGTGACGTATTAGTAACGTGTGTTAATAGTAGTAACAATGTTATAATAGTAGCAATATTGTAAGGAGAGAATTCAAAGCGTCTACAGTATTACCATACAATGGACCTCCGAGACGTTACGAAAGATTCTCAATAAGGCTGAAATTAGAGTGGCATTCGAACCTACAAACTCAGAAATAAGCTTTGTAAGTTAAAAGATCCCATTGATTCAATTAAGCAGAATAATTTCATTTACCAAATTATTTGCATGGATTGAGAGGTCAAGTAAATAGGTCAAAGTAGTCGGCCAGTGTCAGTTAGAATAAGAGAGCACAAAACTTAGCTAAATCAAGATTAGTAGCTCTTAATAAGATGAAAAATTTAAAGAAAACCTCGGCTATAGCTATGCACGCAATAACACAGGATCACATAATAGGGTGAGATAGAGAGAGGAGGTGGAAGAGAGATTGATAACCCAATCTTTGTTTACCGAGTCAACACCAAATACATGCAATAGAAATGATTCTGCATCTGTTCCAAACATACAGAAAATACTATTACCCTTATCGCAAAGAAAAATAAAGGATTAAAACCAAATGAATCGCACCTCAAATTTGTGAAGTTGCCTGATGTGAATATGGACAATAAATTATGTCCGAAACATTATCCAGTGAATAATGCTGTTTTACTGTGATGCATATAGAACTGTGGCTCATTGGTCCAGGGAGATGACTCTCAAAAGGTGGGTCGCGGATTCGGTCCTCATTTCACCAATGGAAGTTTGGGCAGCCAGGTAGCATCATTAGCCGTCACACAATGGGTGTGGCTCATTACCTACTGAACGAATGTGCACGAGGTCGCTAACTGCATTTCGATTTGACTGTGATACATTTAATAAACCAACTAAAATGGAATTACATCCTACTAGTGTCTAAATTTTACACTTGTATTACTCGGGGAGGAACTGGATTCCGCAATACAGTAAAACTCATTCGGTGAAAACAGTGCGTTACATCAGAGTGATCAGTGATGAGTTAGCCGTTTACAGGCTTTATGCACTGCTGATAAATCTTTGAAAACATTTGTTTCCCGATACAAATTTCAAACAAGCAACAAGTGTGAAAAAAGCAGGATTTAATGAACTCATAAATTTCAGTAGTACTCGTCAGCTGGATACTCTACATACTTGATTATATTATCTGTCGAGAAGCTGGTAATATCCCTATCCCAACAAGTGAGTTGAGAAAGCTTCTAAATCTATGCACCAAGAACATCCAGTTCCAGTTCAACGAACAGTTATTCCGCCAAACCGATGGGGTCGCAATGGGCAGCCCTCTGGGTCCCCTTTTCGCTGATTTATTTCTATCCAGTCTGGAAAATAGTAGCTTGAAGCGCCTCATTGGCCAGCGCTATATGGACGATATATTCATTGTATGCAATAGTAAAGCGGAGGCAGAAGCACTACTGAAGAGCTTCAATTCATGTCACCCAAACCTGACTTTTACGATTGAACATGAGGAAAATAATATGATTAGTTTCTTAGATGTCTCACTAGCGAAAAGAATCCATGGATCTATAGAAAGGCCCGTCTATAGGAAACCTTCATGGACAGGACAATACCTTCATTTTAGGAGCTTTGTTCCGATCCAATACAAAGTGAATGTAGTTAGAAAGCTGTGTAACAGAGCCAGGAAAATTTATTCCGACAGCACACTAGACTACGAAATAGGGACTTTGAAAAGCGTGCTGGTGAAGAATGGGTACCCAGAAAGCTTTTTCAACAAGCACGCGAAGTGGGTAGGGAGCAGAACAACGGCCCCGACAGTGCAGAAGAAACCAACCTATGTCACCTTGCCATTCAATGGTGACGACGTGCTAGAGGTAGTTAGACGAAGACTGGAGAAGTCTATCAGAAGGACTTACTACGCAGCTAAACTGGTTCTTTTTAGCACCACCAAAAGGGTATTGCAGCAATCAGGGAAAGACAGTACTCCGATCCTCGACACATCTAAGTGCATATATCAATTCGAATGTACCTGCGGAAGCAAATACATTGGTCGTACGGAGAGGCGTCTGTCCACCCGAATGGTTGAGCACATACCTAAATGGTTGAAGCATGCCGAAAAGAAGACCCCGAGGAGCTCGATAACGAAGCACCTAATGGACTGTGAACATGATATTGATACCTATAAGTCCTTTAAAGTTATCAGTAGACAGCAAAATAAGAAGTTGCTTGGATATGTAGAAGCCTGTACGATTCGAGTCATCAAACCAAACCTTTGCATTCAGAAGGAAATGGTAGTCAGCTTGAATATGCCATGGTAATAATTACAACATTGTCTAATCATATTTAATCTTTCTTATTTTACTCTTCACTACTAATTATCACTCATCTCATATTTGTTTTCCTTCCCTGATTTACTCCGTCTAATTAACCTTATTCCTATTGCCAATGTTATCATTATTATTCATCTCAATATACACCTTGTTTTCTTATTGTCTGCATAAGTACTATTAACTATCTTGTTTTCAATGACGTGATCGACGCTCAATCGATTCAGTTCTCATCCCTATGTCAACAATCTTGAATATCCAATTGACCTGTAAAAACTATTCACTTCTATACTGTTACACCTAAATTTGTCTCAGTCTACGTTATATATGTATGTATGTGTGCTCTTTTCCATTGCTTAACGGTATATATAATCAACTATGTAGAGTATCCACCTGACGAGTACTACTGAAATTTATGAGTTCATTAAATCCTGCTTTTTTCACACTTGTTGCTTGTTTTTTTGAGGGGGTTGTGGAGATTTGGAAATATTTCAAGTTGTTATTCATCGAAGACTGACATCAGTTGGAGGAAGAAAGGAAACCTGGGAGCACTGGACAGCTGTTTCGTCCTTGTTGCTTGTTTTAGATAAATCTTTTGGCTGTATATTTCATCATAACGTAATTCTCAACTTTCATGATGCACCAACTTTAATTTAAAATTAATTGTTAGTTTTATGCTTTCGGTTTTTCAGCTGGGTGGTATGCGAAATCGATTCTCAGACGACTGATTCTTAGAAAATAGCGGAATATGAGGGGCGAACACTTTCTTATAAACCAAGGTTTTAGAATGCGGCAAGTATCACAATCTGTATCTGTGTCTAATCAGGTGGAAATGATCGCCACAACATATCCTCAAAAAAACTAGATGTTTCTGTAGAAAATATATATCTAGTAGAAATAAAAGGCGATAAAACACCAACTGAAAAGCCAAGGTAATCGATATAGGTTGAATTTTCCGGGAAAATAAAATAAATTCAATCGGACTTTATCACAGGCAAGTGAAAGTTAGCTTTACCAAACCAAATTATGTTGAACTGAACATGCGAATCACTGATACAACAAAATATTTCCATAAGACATGGTAACTTACCTAAACAAAGGCCAGTTTGAATCACGTTTAATGTGGGGGTCAACAACCGTGACAAGCTTCCTACCCTTGAGATTCAATTTATCAACCATTTCTCCAGGATTGGGAAATTTATTTCGATCCCATGTGAAGTAACGTTTTCCGTCAGTATGTTCAATATCTAGCCACAAAACATCAACAGGAATTTCATATTTATCAAAATCTTTGTCTACTGACAGCACATCAGCCTCATCATTATAATTCCATCGACACTGATGGTAACCTATGGCAAACAGCGGCGGTAACTTGGTTGTCCCAACTAGGTTAGCATATGCATTCATCACTTCGGACGGAGTATGACCCATAAAAACATATAAATCCACCAAGCCAGACTCCGAAATCCATCTGGTTTCCACTACAGCTTCCTCTGGCTTTTTCGCAAAGAAGTTAGGAATCCTGGAGAATATACTGGTGCTCTGTGAATGGGAGTAATCAATATCGACCCACGTCTCTGATGGATTTAGCCACAAAACGCCCACTGTGTTATTCTGATTGTGTCCCCACATAACAGGAACAGAACCGTACAATGCCATTCCATTATTCAGCTCGTACTCGAATACATCAAGATTGTAAAGTCTGTAAGGATCTCCGTTGCTTGTAGATTTTAGCACGAATCCATCGGCGTGTTCCGGGATACCATAAACATGACTGAACCCTTGGAAGTCGAAGTCCATCGAAACAGAATTCAAACCATGAGGTCTCGTATCAAGATGTTGTTTAAAGTACTCGGACCATGAAGGACCATTAGAGACCGGGTGTTGTGAGTCAGACTGCGGCTGTTCGTCTGCCTTCTTTTCAACTGTGATAGAGTCTTGAGACACATCTCCTGAACCATTCGAAGAATCGTCGGGACTCATCATGGATGAAGCGTCTGTGTTGTGGGTTTCGCTAGGAGTAGAAATGTCGTTATTTTCCCCAACCACTGATTGTTCTTTGATAAAAGGTTTGTTTCTCTGGTGCTCAAAATTTAAAAGTCTCCTTTTATTTGCTGAAGCTACAACGATGTCATCCAACAGAAAATCAACATGAAAAGGATTGTAATACACAATCGCCTTATCTTTGAATTGTCCTTCTAACACTACACAGGTGTCACTGACCACTGACTTAACATTTGCTTCTTGAACATCTTCTAGAATTACATCTCCTGCAGGCACACGGAACCGTTTATACTCATCCGTCAACTCATCGATGAGGATGTGGAACGTCGAGTGTTGGTGATATGTAATGTTTAATAAGAGTGAATGATTTTGATCCTCAGTTCGAATAACTGCAGTCATCCCATAAGTATCCGTCCTAATAGAGCTCGGTTCCAACCAATGCACTTGAGTGCCGGCTTTCAACTGTCGTTGCCGAGTGCAAAATCTGAAACATAAGCTGGGAACAAAAGATGCTGCACTTACGAGCTCTGATCACATGACTTAAAATTGGAACGGTCAACTGACCATGAGGTATTTACCAACAGGAAAAGTAAGCCCAATTTCGCTAGCTCCAAAACCATCACTTCACTTCTTGTTTGCTAGAAAAGGAGTGGAGTGTGCGTTAGTTCGGCAGTGGCAGTCCACTCATCCAGCACGCGAATCTGGAAATAAGAATGCCAAAATATGAGTTGAATTGCTGATCCCATCGAATACATTTTTTAATCTTAAAAAACAATCAGTAATAATTGAGAGTAATGATCATAAACAATTCGGACAAAGATAACATGGGACCTAAAATGAATGAGTAACTTTCCAAGTTGCCACAATTACATTCAGCACATGAAGATAAGATGGAATGAAAAAAGTATCAGCAATAAAATATGCGATCAAGAGAACAAAGAAAGATTATACGAAGATTCGAATGACGGTAAGACATGGATGTTTTCACATCAATGTAGATGGTTTCTGGTCATATTACCTATATTTGTTTGTCTAAGGAACCTCAGTCGTGAAGCTTGAACTTTGCAACGTGCATAAGACTGGCAGTAAGAGGCGTCATCTGTCAGCTCCATGTTTTGGTATGACAACCAAAAGCGCGTAAAAATGGATAATGAGTAAAGACTCGTCGACTTTCTATTTACATTATTTATAAGTATAAACTGGGTACAGCATGGACGCCAAGAACGGTACCACAAAATATGACAAAACTAAGACAGAAATATGATCGAGCGGAGAAAAAGAAAAATAACAGCAACCTAACCCAGTACATGTGAGTGCGTACTAGTTTATGTGCCATACCAATTACGTAAGTTTATGATGCTATCCAGTTTCCTAGACCGAGGAAAGCGACTTTGTATTTGAACCAGTGAATCATTGGTTGGAAGTGCTGCGCTTAAGCCAATGACCGAGAAAATCAAAGTAAAATCTCGCACACGAGTGCATCGGTTTAACTTACCACACTTTACAGTAACATGCAAAGAATAAATGGAAAGAAAAGGACTGATATGAAAGTAGAAAAGGGTGAGTTGGAGGGGAAATAACAAGATGAGAGCTGGTGAAAATACTCAAACTTTAGATGTCAAAGGATGAACACATCTGCGCCACTGTGACCGATTTTCAGCCATGTCGCCAACTCTACAAAAATTGATTCCGATGGTCTCAGGAGCCCCTACCAATCAGTGCGGACACTCCACACGGCTCGGACCAAAAGCAAGAAGCTAAGTAGACCAGTGACGCCTTGGTCTGGCCACCCTGAAACTTCTTCCAGCCTAATCCAACTTCTCCAGGCATTCCACGTCGAGGTACAGAGTGGCTCGGCATGCGCAGTACATATCCGACCCACTTCAGTTGATGAAAGTTCACAACTTCATCGACTGACTTGACTTCCTTGCCTAGTACCCTTGGTATCACCTTGACATTGCTCACACGGTGATTCCACAATACATCAGCGAGGCTACGAAGACACCTATCGCCAAAAACCTGTAGTATTTTCATATCTTCTACCTTCGATGGTCTTATACCATAGCTATATAACAGGATAGAACGAACTGCAGCGCAGTATACTCATCCTTTAACAGATAGTCGGATACATCTTGCCACCCGGTGCCAGAGGTAACACAAATTGACAATTGCTAAACGAGCCTACTGTATCCGGGCTGAGATCCCGTCTGCAGCTGGCCTGTCTTATCCGACAGAACTCCCAAGTGAAGTCGCCGATACATTCCACCACTACTCCATATCATTAAACTGGGAGTAGTTGCGCGCCTGAATTGAAGCATAATCTTAAATTTGACGGGTGCAAAACGCATGTTAGATACCTGCTCAACACGTTCAGAAGTACCTGCATTTAGTCACCATCTTCTCCTAGCAGGAAAATATCATCTGCATAATTCAAGCCAACCACATGAAATCTAGGGAAGTCAAAGGTACTTAAGGTTGTCCATGAAAACATATATAACGAAGTTGAACAGTGACGATGAAAGCAGGTATTCTCGCCAGAAACTAGTGGTTGCCGTGACAACTCTCCATAAGCACTGACATGACTGTATGAGTTCGAGTAGAGAGTTTTCACTAGCAATCTATACTTTCTCGGCACGCACCTCACAGTCAGATACTGTCACAACACCTCGCAGATGACAAAGGTGAATGCCGCCTTTGGGTCAATAAATATGGCGTGTCGGCCACCGATAAGAATGCCTGTATTCCAAGACCTGTCAGAGGGTGAAAATATGATCAACACATCAGCATCAATATCAACATAGGACCAGGCATTACTGCGTAACGGTCCAACTCACCACAGCTCACATCAGTACATCAAATAGAAAGGCAATGAAGTGGAAGATGAAAAGAAAGAAAATTCAGTCAAAAGAAATATAAAGTACTGAAAGAGAGAAAGGAGGAATGAGAAAATAGCGAGATTCAGTATGGCGTTAAGATGAGGATAAGATGTGTATACATATGCGCCAGTGAAATCGGTTCTCAGCCATATCGCCAAGTCACCAACCACTGGTTTCTCTTGTCCCGCGGACCCCAACCGGCTAATCTGCATCGCCCTACATGGCTCACTGTAAGGTCCTGCTGTCTTGCATCCTTTCAGGTTTGATACAGCGTCCTTGACTTCAAGGAGAGTTGGGAGACCGACATCTACGCCCCATTCGGGTTCAGGCTGGATGGCAGGCAACTGAAACGTTGTTTTGGATCAACTGAACTGTGCTACAAAATTTTCCACCCAACGTTTTAGCCAGGTGTCCTGGGAGATTATCAGCATACAATCCTTTACGCTGATGGTCTCACTAACCATCGTGTTTTTCTTGCCGGTATCCTTAACCAACCAAAATAGTTGGTGGGTGTTACCCAGCGCTGATGCCTCCTCCATCTCCCTTGCTTTCGTCATCTCCCTATGTTCGAAATCGACGCGAATACTCTTCGTTAACTCACGTTTAAGTTGCTTTCGCTATTCATCATGATCAGAGTTAGTCACTGAATCTCCAGATACTCGCTAGGCAGATTTTGAAGATTTACTACAATGGTCAGGTGAGGTCAATTTAATAACCACACTCCTGTACATGTGTCTCAGAGGCAGCATACCTACATGGCTGGAGACTCCAGAGTTCTGACGAGCGATGCTTGTTGTCCGATTTGGCGGAGTTTGGACGTTGGAAGCTCCTACATGAAATAGATGGCCGGGTCTACGAAGACTCGGAATGAGGTTTCGCAGTGGTTGTATAATGAGAGGTTAGGGAAGATGTAAGAGACTTAATATTAGTATCAGGTGCAAGCAAAGGTGGAGATAGTTGAGGAGGATAGGTTGTGTTTGACTGGGTTCAGTGACTAATGGAAGTGTGAAGGTGGTTAACACTGGCTTCCCACACCGTGGAAGGCTAATTCCTCCTGAGGTACCTGAAAGAGAATGGTTAGTGCGTGACCGCAGCGGGCATGGAATACTTGTATGCATATAAAAGTTTATACATCTAGCATATGTTTAAATGTAAACATATAAGAACCATAAGAAGTACTGTAATGAGTGCAAAGTAACTTAGTAAACGAATATTGTTCACATTATCAACTGCGTGCACAAAAGGAGGCAATAAACTGGATTTTTAAAGTATTGATTTACATTTTCTATGAATATTGTGACAACATTGACTACTGTTTTTATACACAAAATGGCTTGTCCACAGACTCTATTCACCTGGTTACCTATATGGTGCACTGCTCAATTTTCTGTTGATCCCGTGATTATGTAACATTTCATGAAGCTATTGTTATTCTTTTGGTTATAAATGACATCGTCATAAGACCCAAAATAACTCCAAGAGAAACAAGCAAGCATGATGAAGTAAAACGAGTGAAACCGAGTCGTTATCAAAGTATTCAACCGGAAAATGCTTACCTCTACTGACATACTAGTTATGAGCTCGTCGTAATCGACGTGATACGTGCGCCAGCGGCAATGTAATGTTTTGATAACTATGGGTATTAATTGTCATTTGCCACTCTACATTAAAATAACCCTATCATTTCACATTTTGACATATGTGTGCAAATCAATTATTGCATGATAAATACACGGGATTGGCACTGGATGCGTCTGACCAACACTAAACCGTTTTAAGTTATAGGAGTTATATAAGTCCAATAAGATAGGATAGGGTATCCTCTCCGTGAACCGCAACAAAGATAAGCCTGATACAGGGCGAAATGTGGGGCTATGTAGGGGGAAATGTTGCAAATCTCCTTGGTCCATCATCTGATTTCACAAAAATGTCGACTGGGCTTGGAAGTTCTGGCGATAATCTCCGAGCGAATGTAGACACACTCGAAACGTAAAGGAATGTTTGGTTTCCAAGAATAACTATAAATGAAAGAACAGCTACATGATCAAATCAGGTGACTTTGAAAGACCATTCATAAGGAGAACGTCAGTTCACTGACCCCATCTACAGCAATTTATGTGGATCATATGCTTCGTTAAGCTACATCTACAACATTACAATCACTAATCATAATTCTCGACCCAGGCACTGGAAAGTATAGGAATCACACTGGGGACTAAGTGTCGTTTTAAAAAGAGGATATAGCAGCTAAGTGGATCATGTTCTGCAGCTAGTTCAACGTGAAACCACTACTTTAGACAGGAACTTTTGAAATTTTTAGGCAGTATGCTCCCGGAATCTACCCTATGTGAACATTCTGCCCATTTTTCAAGTGTCCTTACTGCTGCAAATTTTAGCCATCCCCGATATTACTGGTATTTACCTGTTGGTACTGACTGGTTGCTCATAGTCATTTGTCAGATCGTTAACTGGAGGTAGCTATCCTTTACCTTTTCAAATGAGGTTGTGTATTTGAATAAGGGCCCTCCAATTAATTTGCTGAAGAATTCCAAAATGAGTCCAAAGTGTTTGACGGGTTGATTACGGTGCATACCCTAAATTATTGATGTGCATATCTGTTACAGACAATCTCAAAATAAGGTATTCTGAGTTGACTGAAATTGCTTTTAGCACCATTGATGAGAAAGACCAGTGGGACAACAATCAAGTTGCGAAGGTTGGTGGCAATATCAGGGGAACATCCA